TATTCAGGCCTGATGCAAATCCTGCTTGAGGCCCCCCAGAAGTACTGCCACATGCTGCCCTGGCAGCATCAGAAAGCTAAAGCTGAGCAAGGTCAGGGGAAGAAACATAAGAAAGCTCACACCTCTAACAGATACTTCAGCTAGGAAGTACAATTTCTCTTTTAAATAAAGCTCTCAGAAGAAGAAGATTCTCAGACTGCATAAGTGTTTTTCAGCAATCCAAATAATGCTGCTCTTGGTTTCATCTACTGAAACCTTTTCAATCTTGCACCTCTTAAATTTCCAAATGAACTTCAAAAATCAGATTTTTGTGTAATTTCTTTATATTTTTAATTGTTAACTTTCAAAAAAATGTTCATGATGGAAATGTATTGGGGGAATATTTTATCATGGTTATATATTCATCCAGGAAAAGTCCCATAGAGACAGTAATGTAGTACCTCTAGATAAGTGCATTTTAATGTACGATAGAGAAACAGTTTTTGGATTAAAATGGGGCTACAGAAAAAAATTGACATTTACAATTTTGATTTAGTTTTTACTTTGCAGAAATAAAATTTACAGGGATGAAAAAATAAGGAAAAGATGCTAACAGCTTTGTCAGCACTTGCTGAAAAGTTTATAAGTACTAAAAATTCAAACCAGGATAGTGAGAGAAAAGTACTAAACAACATAGCTTGAACAATATAGCTCAAAGCATGTCCTGGAAAAAACATAAATCTCTTCTTCCTACTTTTATGGGTGAGTTAGGAAGCAATTCTTTAACAATCTTACTTTTACTCTTAAAAACAGTAATTAAAGAGGAGACTAAATTTAACAGTCTGCTGACATTGCTAATAGGTATGTAGTAATTTCTTGCTCTTCATTCAAACACAAAAGTTTTTACATCTGAGTGCCTAAAGGTGGCACACGCTTAGGAGGTAGTTCAATGGGCAGACTATTTAAAACATAGATAACAAAGTCTGTTACTTCCACTTCAAATTGTTCTCAAGATAGGACCCCAAACCTCAAAATCTTTCTGAAAAAGAAAAGTGGTTCCCAAGCTTTGAGAAGCTCTCAGGGCAAAGAGCAGATCCCACCTGGCTGAGGGGCATGGGTATACACAATATTCCCAGTGCCTTCACGGGTTGATGGTCTCAGCAGCCCACAGCTGTATGAAAAGCATTTTATAAACACATCATGCTGGGTCTCAGTTGGCTGCACAACCCCCCGGAACAATTAGATACTGTTAAGGGTGATATATCACCTAATATATTGTTGGAGAAAGGTGTTTTCTATATTTTTATTTATAGAGGAGAGGTTTGGTATGAAAAGATCCTTTCAAGTATTTAATATAAATCGGTACTCACTGCTATCCGCAGTATAGAAGCTTTCACAGAGGTCCATTTGTCCTGTCTGCGATCTATGACAAGAATAAATCCAATTCCAGCATCTGGTAAACTAAGATTGGAGGAGAAAAGAGGAAAAAAAAAAAAGTTTAGTTAAATGTATTGGTAAAACTGTTCTGGTTCTCTCACAAAAAAAAAAAAAAAAAGCATAGCTTGGACATTTAAAGAAAAAAAAAAGTAGCTTGACCTTTTTGTATAAGCTCTTCTTTACTTAGGATGTTTACATGAACATATTCCATTCACATTAGAAAGATGCAGCAATCCCAAACATATTCCACAGAGCTTCAGACCATATTGAAATCATGAAATGTTCTTATCCACAAAAGGCACTTTTTTTGTTTGTTTTTACATTTATTGTGCAGAGATTACTTCATAAGAAAGTAAAACTCATTGATTCTTTACAGTTTTGGTGCTGATATAATCCACCTTCCATAGTGTTTTCAACGGTATAAATCCAGGGTTAAAACAAAGTAATTTTTCTTCTGCATCTGCTTTTTGCCTTTGTATTGTTTCCTTCCCTACTAATGTCTAAAACTCCTTAAAAACGTAAATCCATATGATCATTCCATGCTCCTGATCTGTGCGTCTGAAATTCTTACATCCTTCCCGGCTGCAAATTTGTCCTCAGGTATATGTTTACATTTACCAAAACAAAAAATCCCTGGAGCCCTTAAAAACTCTAAGTCACAGATGAGACAAAGGAGGTAAGATTCCCTTCTCTGAATGGAAATATCTGTGAAAACGATCGCCCCCTGAAATCCTTGCATGAAGATGACCTCCTTTTTTTCCTGCTGTGTTCGGCTGCATGTGCTAGGGAGCACAAACAGGGAGCTCCGCTCCCGCTCTGCAGTTTTGCGTCCAAGCTGATTGCATAACGCCGGCCGTGGAGCCGCCCAGCAGATCGCAAGCAGAGTGACAGGGACAGGCCAGCACCACGTAGAGACATGTGAAATTGCTATTTTCCTGTTTGCTTGGTATACAGGAAATATTTAGATGTGTGCTGTACTCTCATTCAGGTTAACAGTGAGGAAAAAAAATGCAAACGTACTGCATGTCTGTACTGTGTAACATGCACGGAAATATTATGCATTGGTTTGCTATCATCATGCTTTAAATAAAATCAAAACAACAGAATGTCAGGATTCCTTATGCAAGACCGAGCCGTATGAAAACACAAGCTTTGATTTAGAGTAAGATTATACTGATAACAAGGTAATAACAGGATATGAAAGAGGAGGAAGATGACAGGTATCCAGGTGTAGCATCTCAAGCTAACCTTCAAAATGAGAATTTTTTTCATAACTGCCCCCCTCCTTTATACATTGTAAATCCCTCAAATATTTAGGAGGAACTAAAATATGCAGATGCACAAAAAGAAACATCAATCACATTTTCAAAAATGCTAAGCATTTATTTTAATACAGGACAGTTTTAGACATCACCTCTCACTACCCACACTCAATGCATATGATTTAACTCCTGCCTCTGGGTAGGATAAAAATGATAAACAGCATCTGAGTACTTGACTTGTGAACGCAAATAACTCTAGTAGACTTTATAAAAACAAACAGACACACAAAACTGGAATATGTTTTACCACTACAGTCTCCCCTTTTTTAAAAATTTTTTTTTTTTTTTTTTTTTTTTTTTTTTTTTTGGAAAGATGCTTTTCAACGTCTTTCTGCTTCCTACTAAATGTGCTCAGCATTTCAACCTTTTGTCACTGAGCAAAACAAAATGCTAATAGCAACCCAAAATAACCACGTATCCGAATGAACTCCTTGGGCCAGCCAGCTGTATATGGATGAGCTGAATACATGGAATCTAAAGAGTGCTAAAACTGTTCCCACAGCAGTTCACAGGGGTTTGGGAGAGTTTTAAGATTCCCAAAGCACTATTCCACATCCTCAATAGAAGCCCATGGGAGTTCTCAGATTTCTGCAGAATTCCTCAGTGCAGAGCATGACCTCAGATCCAACAGAATACCTATGTATTTGTAAGATATTTGTAAGATATTTCCAGAACCTACTGACAACCTGCACAACAGGAATAAAACAAAAGCCTATGACAGATCATCAGTAAGATTTTTCAGGGCAAAGCAACTGACTTCAGATCATATATGCTCTTCATATAGATTTCTTTTTTAAAAAAAAAGTGTATCTCTATTCTGAACCCATCACTGAGTTTTGTATGCTTGTATGCCATTCGGTAAAACAAAAACTATTAATGGCAGGGCTTAAATCAACCTTTAAAACCTTTTCTGGCACCTTACTACCATGATCAGACCATACATAAGGAGATGAAAGATAGTAAAGCACAAATAAATATATTAGAAAGTTTCCCTTCATGGGTCAAACTGATTGTTACGTAAGATACTCCTGACAACAGATATATTGACAACAGCATTTTGTTTCAAAGCCCCAGCTACTGTGCCCAGGGTGCAACTCCCACAAGTGACAGGCAGAGAGTGACAAGCAGAACTAATGTGCCACGTATAACAAGGCAGAAGGCAGCATTAGGAAGGCAGCAAAGTCACCTATTCAAGGACCAGTATATACTGGTAGGAGCAATGTTTGCTCTCACAGACTCACTCCACTCCCTGCTCTCTCTCCCTTGCCATACACCCTGCATATATTGCTGCTCATTGATAGGCAAAACCCCTTTTTTTCCAGGGCACAGGATGGATAGGAATCTGGTAACAAGCAGGTGCTGATATTTGCCTCCTCACCGAGCTGCAGGTGCCACTGGTACCTCTTTACGTCAACCATATTCATCACATCCTATCCAAGTATTCATTTCCCCTTTTTCCACTTTCTCCCCCCAACAACCCCTTTTCGTTATTGCTGTATTTGCTAACAAGTCTTTGCCTTTCAGAACCCATGTCTCAGGAGAAGCAAACTGGCGCACACAACCTCTTACCTCTCACCTGGCTTCACCTCAGGCCTCACTGCTGTTATGTTGTGGGCAGCTCTCATCAGCCTAGTCCAGGGAGCCCAATTCATCCAATATAACCAATAATCACATCATCAGCACCTCCATTTGCTTCTCGTTCACCTGTTGAATCACTCTCATGCTCTGCTGCCTTGTCCCAAGCATAGCATTTTTTTTTAAAAAATTTACTAGCACAAGTGGCCAAATCAGTTCTCGTCCTTCCCTTTCCTGAATATCTCAGCCCTCTCATTATCCATCCCTAAGCTTCCCTTAGCCTATGCTCCTCTTCTTCCCTCAGGATCTTCCCTTGGCTGCAGTCCTGCCTGCCAGTTGTCTTAGGCAGCGTGCTTGCACCCCACGAGACAGCCTTGTACAGTCTGAACAACTCGCCTTACAACCATGAGGCGGCCCTTCCTCTGGCCTTGGATGAGGCACATGTAGCAGGGGTGGGTTAACCCCAGACTCAAGTGGCTGCTGAGCATGTGTGACCTGGGATTTAGAAAGACTTTTCCACAAGGAATTTTCTTGACACAAACGCATCCTTCTTATAAATGTCAAGTCCCAGAGTCCTTGACCAAAGGCTGGAGACACTTGAGCTTCTCAAACAAAGGACTGTTTGAAAAGCACAACAGATTTGCCCCAGCCTCCTGGGAACAAGGCAGTTATTTTAGTCAAACATGAAAATAAAAACTCAGGTAGAATACTATGAGTGGGAAGAAAATTTGGCAGAGTTGTAAATGACGGGAAATTAAACCTTACAGCAAGGAACAGCAGAAGATCGTAACAGAAGCACCTGCCTACTGAGGTTTCTTGATGGTTCTCTACAATCTTCAATTTCTGTTTTTGTTTAGTACAAGAACAGGAACTTGTATCCAATGTACTTTCTGAAAGATAATTTATAGACTTGTAATTCAAATTTAGTACTTCCTTCCTGCCTTCCTCTGAGCACAAATAAATCAATCAATCACAGGAAAATATCACAAGATAAGTTCTGTTCTTCTATTTATTCCCAAGCATAAAAAATAGAATATTTTTTGAAAGCCATTGCCGTCATCCATGTTCTGCAGGGAATGTGCGTGGCAGACTTGCAGAGGTCAGGCCAGGAAGGTAGAAAGCAGGGAAAGTGGAATAAGGGCCACAGAGGAAAGATACTGAGAGAAAAACATAGCAGAAAGTGGACTCTGTGCAACCCAGTCCTGCCTTAGGAGCCTAGTGTAATACCAGTTGGAAAGGGTAAGAGAGAGAGGCTAAAGAACCTTCCCAACAAGCACTACCTTCTCAAGGGTAGAGCAATAACTGAGTTTTCCTCTCAGTGCCTCCTCAGCTTTAAATTATGGCGACATTTCTCTTTTTGGTCTCATTTGCAAGACTTATGATCTCATGTACCTGGGGGAAAGGGTGGGAAAGCTTATAGAGCATAGGATTGAGAAAAGAAGCTTCCCTCTGGGGTGTGTGGAAGCAATTACATAGTCATCATCTGAAAGACCCTTTCATTTCTCCAAGGTATGGGTGGTGACAAATAAGTTCCCTTTGCTTTTATACTGTTAGCTGAAAACTGCTTGCACACATTGCTTTATTACAAACAAAAATCTTTTTGTTTGCCAGAGCATCTTGATAATATCAACTTTTTTTTTTCCCCCCCCCTCCTCTCCCCAAGGGCAGCATTTTTGACTAAATAACTTGTGCTTAATAAAAAATGAATTTCTTGAAGCTTCATTATTAAACAATATGTATATGTTAGTCTTAAGATTTTTTCCTACTTTTCTTACTAAATACCTCTGCCTGTACATTCAAATTCATTAGAAGCTCTTGTTTTCAACAGCTGAACAGTTGTTTTGACAAAGGGATATCAGCAGAGCTCAGTGAGGAACTAGTACATTGAGCAGAGCACCAAAGCAACACTGCACTCTATGGACAAATCACTTCACTATACACTAGAGCTGTCTTTAAATCCCTAATACCACCCACTTGGACAGCTCGCTCTGGGAAAAATGAACATTTTGAACAAAGCACATTCCCATCACGACCCTGTTGATAAAAAAAAAAAAAAAGTACTTCCCAGCAGCTATCACTTTGAAGCCAGAAATCCTCCTATATTCAGCCATCAGAAGACAAGTTAGA